TGCAGTGAGAGGAGAGGTTAGTCGAAGGGCTGAGGGACTGCGAGAGGAGAGGCATTTACTTCTACTCTCAGAGAGCTGGGCTGGCGGCCAGGAGGATGCAACTCTGTGCATAGTTTAACCTTGAGTGCTACTGTATGTGGATGGAGAAAACATCCATCTTGTGGAGGGTGTGGTTGGAGATATCCTTAACATGAATATAAACAGGGGCAGGTATTTAAATTTGTTGTTTTGATTAATTAATCAGAGGAGGACTTTTTCATTGTGATTCTATGACATCATTTTTCTGTGTCTGTCCTTTGAGATTTTCTGTTTTCTTGCGTCATCATTGACCTACACATCACTGAGGGTTTGGATGACGCCTGTTCTTCCTCTCTAAGAGATACATGCAGAAAAAGTGTTGCACATACTTGTTTTATACTCACTTCGATGGTTGGTTCAACTGTTTTAATAAGATTTATTAGATGGATTGGCATGAACTTCTGTACAGACAAGCATGGATCCATGGGGAACAGTCCCGCTGACTTTGGTGATTTTACTCAGGAGCCTTTTGTCTTCATTTATATTATCTCTTTATCAAAAGGTTTAGAAACCTAATTTACGTGAATCAAGTTCCAAACTGTAAAAAGAGTTTTGGCTCCTGTCGTTGTATCTGACTCATCTGATCCTCTCTGGGCGCTGTGTCCTATGGGGACATCAGGGGCATCTCTGTCCAGAGGAATCAGATTAATCGAATAATTGCTGATGCTATCCTGCTATGAACGTAACTCGGGGCCAACTCTCAGATTGCAGATGGCAGAGCTGTAACTGAGAGGTCAGCTAATGCAGTTTTTGCCAGTCGTTGCCTCTGTGCTTTAAAAAGGAGACGCTGATGAAGCCTTTGGGTAGTGGTTTGACTGTTTGTTTTTGCATGTATGTGTGTTTCAGAGGGGGAGAAGGTTTTTGTGTGAGCAGGTTTCTGTGTACCTTAATTGAGAGGCTGAGTTTCTTCTTGCCCCCTGCAGACATGTATCTGCCAACTCTGCAGCCAGCGAGCAAACTACAGGACTGTAGCAAAGAGCAGACATGCACCTGACTGAGCGAAATCAAAATCTGCAGCACACAAACACAAGCAGGATTCAAGTCCTGCACATTTCTTTAGAGACTATGTGTTTCTACATGTGCATGCACTGTTAAAGAGCTGACGTGTGCACACGCAACCCTCAATATTTATTGGAGCTGTTTACACTAGAAAAAATATCCTCTCTCAAGCAGGTGAATTCCAGTCATTCATGCTGCCCTGACAGGAAGCAATTTCACCTGGGGGAGAAACTCATGTCAAACATCATAAGACGTATTTCACCCGAGAAGGTTCTAGATTGTTGTTCCTCTCTTGGCCCAGTTGACTTTTGAAATATGTCAACAAATCTGTTCAACAGCAAAGGAGAGGCTATCGACCGATGAAGACTTACACTGCTACAATTAGCAAGAGCCCAAAACTTTCCAGTGCTTTCTAAGAAGCGAATTCAGTACAATGATGTAGGAAATGCACACATGGTTCCAGAGTTTGAAATATATTACTCAGCAATGTATTATTTCTAAACAAATGCTGAATCACCACACTCCTCACTGTAATTTATTTTGCATACAAAGCCTTGGGAGGAAGCATTCTCAATTCTCAGAGGGCACAACTGTTCTATGGCTTTCTCTCTCTATGGTTTCATTCCGACCTCTATTTATTACCATCACATTTCAAGCTCATGCACAGCGTCGTGAATTGTCTATTTTCTGTTGGTCTTTCAGGGGGCGAGAGTTCAGAATTCGGCCAAGAATTTGGGAGTGAGGGATCGGACGCCGTCATCAGTCCCAAGGTAAAACTGCAGTCATGTCCTGTATGTGAGGGGCAACACCTCACTATTGATTCAAGCGGCCTTAGCAGGCCTTCTATGTGATATAACATGTACAGTACATATTTATTTCTAATTGTGCTTTCTAGATTGCTGTTCTGGTCGGAGACAAGTTGACTTTTAAAAGTAGAGGAAAGTTATTGATTATAAGTCAGGGTTTGAGAACTTCAACAGCACACACCAGTTTTTGCTGACGATTTCTGATCGTACCTGAATGCACCATGAAGTTCCTACACTCAAGTAATCAATCATTTGGCTACAGCAAACATGTTTACACAAAACTGAATAAATAAGTTAGGTTGGACTAAATGTTCACTTAAAACTAATGTTGAAAAGTTGCGTTAATGCAAATGTTCTGCTGTAATCTCTCTTTCAAGTTGCTGATATGACTCTTCAACTGTCCATCACACAGTGGACATCTCTGTGTAGTCAGACAAATTCAGCGTTTTTAAAAGAGCGTTCATTCGTGCTGTACAGTAGCTCTGTGTGTGCACTTTTTGTGCAGGACTGAGGCCAAATGGTTCCATTAGAAAGGAGCTCCCTGTTCTCAGTCGCTCTGAGACGAGGACCGCCTCAGCCATTTGGCTGTGACATATAGGCTTTTGTGTGACAGGCAGCCCTTTTGAACCTTTTAGTGAAATTGACAAATACAATTAAGTAGTGGGATGATTAGTGTTGCGACATTGTGGTCACAGAGCAAAATCGCTGCACTCTCAGTAGGTTTATGTCCTAATTGTTCCAGCGTGAGTGAGCGCTGTACAATGTGTAAGTGTGCTGCGTGGATCATGAGATGTTCACAAGAGATTCTCACTGATCTGCCGATGAAAGTGATGGAAACATTTTAGTGAGAGTTTACTCTGCACATATGTGATCTAAAGTGAGTCTCTTCAAAAGCAAAAAGATGTGAGTGGTGCAAATGGTTATTTAAACTACAGAGGAGAGTAGTGCTGTGTTAAGAGGCAAGAAATAAGGCTGATATTGGAGAAAATTGCTCCCAGAGCAGAGAAAACTGATGAATTATGAATAACACTAAATAAATTTGTTGCTTAACTATTTTCTCTGTTCATTAAGGCGGCAGAACAGAACATATAATCTAAACTGTAGAGCCCGACAGATGCCGGCTGGCTACTGATATTAGAATAAAAAAATTCACATATATTTTAAAAAATGCGAAGATGTCAAAGAAATGTAATTGAGGTTTGATATTTTATAGTTTAACTGTAAACTTGATAAAAAATAATGCCTTTTTGTATTACTCTGACCAGATTGTACAAGCTGTGCCAGCCTCCTCCCCCAGATGGTGACCCATAATGCATTACACCCAGGAAGGTGCTGAGCATTGAGTCCGAAGCATTCTGCTCTGGAAGTCTTCCCTCCACCCATGAAGGATCAATCTATTTGCTATTGAACATTTCTATATGTTCAGAACAGCTGCCTTAAGTGTAAATATAATTTTTTTTTAAACCGTAAATAGTTTTTGTAATACTTTATATTTTTCACAGTTGAACTTTATACATATGTTGATTTACTTTGTATTGTATAATGCATCTGACGAGGAGATGAGAAAACAAAAGATTATTATCTCAATGGAGTTAAATAAGCTCAGTGTATTGGCTTCATTGAAAAATGTGCTTGTTTTTTCATGAGGGACAAATACAGGCCATGTTTTTAGTTCAATTTGCATATGAAATAAGCAAGATAACATTGATTTAAGATATTTGCATTGTGTTTGTTCAGATCAGCCATTAATCTGTCTCTGTTCTCTGCCTCCTGTGCGTTATTCAGAATTCAGAATTTGACAACCACACGAATGTGTCATTTCTAACTCTCCCTGACACGATTTTTATTCTTCTGTAAATATACACTTTTAGCAGAAATAAGCAGAAAAGACTCATGCTGTTGTTTCCTACAGATTTTGAATATCCACAGCTATTGTATGCATGACTATAAAGATTTCCAATGGTTTATGAGTATTAACATATGATAGTTTCTGGATGTAGAGCTATGAGATATATTCTGTTATTTTATATTGACAGTACTCAGGATTAAAGTGTCTCTCTGTGCTACTTATTATTGGACGTTGTCATTGTAGGGTGAATTGCTCAGTGCTATGCAAACAACCAAGTGATAATAAACTCTATTAGTGAGCTGCAGTACTGTTCCCACACGTCTCTGTTGTTTCATCAACATGGTGTTAAAACAGATTTCCTCAAAATACTAAAATGTTGTCAAATATATTAAAGTTGATAAAATGTAGTTATGACCATTTCACGACTGACTTTGTTTATTCTGTATTTAACATGTATCACTTGAACAATACCTGTCAGTGTAATAAACAGACCTGCTTCATGGAAAAACACCATCTTGCCTTTGTTATAAGAAGAGCCGATGTCGAACTGATACAAGGAAGTACAAAAAATGTCCGATACCTTGTCAACCAATACAGACATGAATATCGATACTGATACAAGGAAATGAAGAACTTAATATCAACTGATATTAAGGCCGTAGAACATGACGTAACCTTTGACTGTAAAGCCCAACTAAACTTTATGATATATATATAAATCAGACATATATCATTTGGCAATGAGTCCCAACTGACAGAAGTATAATTGAGGCTTAATATTTTACAGTTTAACTATAAACTTTACGATAAATACCTGAAAATACAACCAAATACATACAACTTGAAGAAAATAGACCTCATATTTAAAAAAAAATGCATTTCTATATGTAAAATGAAAACACAAATATCTTGCATCTGCATTGTTTTTTCTATGAATAAAAGTTGTGGCATATCCGCAAACACAAAGAACAATACTGTAAAACTTTTTTATCGGCTAACCGATTTAGTCGTAACAGTGTTATCTTCACTGGAGGACAAATAGATTATAGGAATTACACTTTTCTTACGTTACTCTGCAGAATGCGCATCACTTGCGCTAAACTCTGTCCGCGGGCTGCACGTGACAGTGCGCAGTTTATTCGCGTTAATAAATTGGCGTCATGTGACACGTGGAGGACAGACCGGGGATGATAGGGGGACACGGAGCAGGAGTCCGGCCGGGACCAGGCTGAGCTCTCTGGGTAAATGGGAGTGGCTCAGTTAACACCGGCAGCCAGTGAGCGGAACACTTGTGATCCGTGTCACGGAGCTGCTGCCGCCGCTGAGCCTCCGGGGTCCACCGGGAAGCTTCCGCCGCCGAGCTGGGGACAGTCCCGGGCTGAGTCTCCACAATGAGCCGGGCTCCACACACCGACCGCCCGCTCCGCACTTGAAGCAGACCGGGCTAACGTGGCGCTCGGTGACATTTTGAACGGGGTGTATTTTTGTTTTTTTCGTGACACCCTCCCTCCTGAAGGACGAATGACAGCGGCTCACCCCGTGATTTCATCCCGCTAAAAGCTCCGGCGAGGACCGACAGCTTCTTCATGGCGTCCCCTCAACAGTCCAGGATTCAGTCGTACCTGGAGAGGAACAAGATCGGACCCTTGTTCGAGGTGAGTGAAAGTTCTCATTTGAAATAAGCTTTAATTTCCATGAATCCAATTTATCTACAGTTTGTCTGTCACACTGGAGTAACTGAGTATATATAACTGTTACTAACCTTATATGAATGTACTCTATGTTAGAGCATTTAGTACTTTAAACTATATTATTAACCTTATGTACACCTGTACTCTGTTAAAGCATTTAGTATTTTAAAGTATATTATTTCTCCTTATATACCTGTACTCTATGTGAAAGCATTTAGTACTTTAAAGTATATAATTTCTCCTTAGATACACTTGCACTCTCTCTATATTAAAGCATTTACATTAAACTCTATTATTTCTCATTATATACAATTGTACTGTAGTTATATAACCATTTAGCTACCCTACACTGTTACTTCTCCTTATATACACTTGCATTCTCTCGATATTTAAGCATTTAATCACATTAAACCCTATTATTTCTCCTTATATACATTTGACCTGTCAATGTTTAAGCATTTAGCTATGTTTAACTATATTCTCCCTCTTTATATACACTTGTACTTTATATATGAAAGCATTTGGCTGATAAAATGGAAAACCATTTGTTTCCATGTACTTCCTGAAGCGTCCCACTGCTCTCCATTCACTACTCTGGCACAGAAACACATAGAGGAATATCGGCCGCTGTGTTTACGCTCACATTTCCATGTTTAGCTCTTCCTACAGTCATTTGCATTTCAGAGAGATGATGTACTGACTCCACACACTCGGTGTGTTGAAGTTACAGGGGAGCCAGTTGTGATTCATGTTACACAGCAGTGCTGGATTTACAGAGGACTCAGCCTAACTAACTACCTGCCTGTCTGTATGTTTGTCAGTCTGGGGATCGGTGTGTATTCTCAGTGTGGCTCCTGAGCAGCCCAGGGGACAGCATGACTTCATCCTTTTGTTTGCTGTTGGATTTATAGCTGAGAGCAGGACCGCACAGGTGTGAGGCGCGATCACAGCAAAGATGGAGACGACCAAAATCCATGTGGCTTTTTGTTTTTTTTGATTGAGATGCAGCAGACGAGCGAGTGTCTTTAAACAAGAGCAGGGGAGACGAGCGTAATGCGGCGGGGGGACATGCACTGGGCGATATTCACAGGCGTGGTGTGTTTCTGCAAAAAAGTGCTGACGTGCGTGAGTTCCGTGCTTCAGCTGGATGTGTAGTAGCAGCACACACACACATGAAGTGCATGTTAAGCAGATGTAGGAGCAGTGGCGAGGGTTGTTTCAGCACCGTGGACAGAGACAACCAGTGGAGAAGACAGGAAATCTTATTGAGGCCACAACCACACAATGATGGTTGTGTGTGTGTTTGTGCTCTCTCTCTGTTTGTTTTTCCTCCCTCCATCTTTCCTCTTCCACCTGTCTCCCCCTCTGCTCTCTGCCTCACCTCTCCCCCCTCTGTTTTTAGCCACAGTTCACAATTAAACCATCTCTCCTTTATGTGACACTTGAAGATGATTAAAGCAAAATGTGACTTCAGGGTGTTGATCAAAAACACCTTTGGTCCAAAGATCAGTGAGCTCACAGGGTAAAGCTCTTACATGCTTTGTATTGCATCATGTTTTCTGAAGGTAACCTGTAGACTTTTTTATCCTGAGCTGCAACGATCATTGCTGACTGTTTGGAGGTTTAGATTTTCAGCTTGGTTAACGTAGTTATAAGATGTAATAAGAGGAGTATACATCTCCTGGGTCTACCTCTCTCATGAGAAAACGATACAGGCGCAACCCTGGTGTTGTGCTTGAACAAACCTTGGCCCTGTCATTGTTGTCTCAAACAGAATCCATCCAAGTGCAGTCAGCTGTGAAGAAACAATTTGAAAAAGAAGAATCTAGGAAGAGAGGCAGGGATCCTTCTTGTAATTTTCCTTTTTTGATCAGATGAAAAGAACGAGTGCAGCCGATGTAATCATGCAATGGTTCTGCTGCGCTGCTTCAACCGAAGAGAGCTGATTGAAACTGGGATTGTCATTCAAACTAAATGAGAACAACACTTTTTGGTTAAATGCAACATCTCTCAATTACAAGAGCACAAAACATTCAGAATTAGGTTGATTTATGGACTCATATATTAACATCTTATAAATCCATTTTAGGCAAATAAAAAAATAAAGGGGAAACCAGTAACAGTAAAACATTGGCTCCCTAACATGCACTAAAAGCTATTACAAGGATTGGTGCAATGCATACATTAGTGACACCAACACAGTGTCTGCAGTAAATGACATTCTCCACAGAGAATAAAATGATCGTGTCCTGATTGGTTTTAATGTGAGCTGAATATCACTCATCTTACATCGTTAGTGTTAAAGGAGCCTGACCAATTCATATTAACCTTTTACACATGTATCGGTACTTGCTTTTATATTTGCAGATATGAAAATTAATTTTACAGAATAAATGTAGAATATGTAGATATATTGATTTTGGAAATCTTACTCCCCAATATGGGTATTGTTCCCAACAAAATCCCGGGCTCTAGATTAAAAGGGGATCTTTTGTCTACAGTAGTTGCCTGAATGTATTCATCGAGGAGCCTTAACAAAGTGTAACGTAGCATCATGTGCATCGAAGATATAGGTCAGCTAACGTCATGTATGGATATCAGAGTTCGTCTCTGATCTATATCTAATCAACACTCTGTTTCTTACATCATTCCGTGTAAACACCGCTCAATTTGATCAATATCTTTACCAGAAACTGCTCATTTTTCTTTTCCTTCTCTCTCACACTCGTCTGCAAACCCCATAACCTCTTCCCCCTCCCCACCACAGAGCCGCAGTATTAAAACGCCTGTGTAACAGCGAGCAGGGATTCATTTACTCACTCTGATGAGACACTGCTTATGATTTGCCAGAGAATTGATTTTTTTTTTTCCCCTCTCACTAATGAAATGGTTGCTTTTCAGAGATAGCAAGCTGAGTCAACACCAGCAGAATATTCTCTAAGAAGTGAAGCAGCCTTTCATAATAATTGAAGTAATTGCACCCTGGATTATTGTCAGACACTTAATATTGATATTCTTTTCAAACACTTAGTCTTTTCCATTCGCTAAATGGTTCAGGTCCAGCGTGACCTTTCATACAACTGTGTTACATTAAGATTTGTCACCAGTGCAGCCGTTAAAGCAAGAGGATGTATTCCATATATTCAGGATGCTTTGTTGGATACAGCAGGGTTATGTGTTTGTTGGATAAATCTCCACTTTCCTGGCATTTAGAATTTGACAGAATTGCTTCACCTGTGTGAGAAAATCTGTGGAAGTTTCTAATCCTGGCATTATCAAAGACGATCTGCGTGATCAACGTGTAAATCTCTGACATTTAAACTTATATAACAGCATGGGTTGTTAAAAATGGAGCCATTTTTCCTCTTATCACTAGAAGTTATAAAAAAAACACTCATTTTCCTCCCTGCTGTGATCCTTCACATCTTAGATGATAGACGACATAATTGCTATGTTGAAACAGTGAAGTGAGGGTCCATGTAAATGCAGCTCCGACCGTCACTAGGTTTAAACTAGAAATGGTGTAAAAGTCAAATGTTGAGCTGTAACGAATTGGTGTGGTTGTTCAAGTCTTAACTTTTTCTTTTGTGACTTCAATAGCTGGAATATTGGTCTGCTAATCTACTGCAGCAAAGTACTGGTCTCAGCTCAGGGCTTTTTTATGACCCCTTGCTGATACAGTATTAATAAAACACAGATGAATAGCAACTGGATTGGTATTGGCTCCGATACAAATTTTATGACATGGATCAGGTCTGCATTGCTGTGTCTTATCTTTTAAGAGGTCTTACTGGTGCGCAAGAGAACCTAAGAAAATGCACAATGAGAATCCAGAGCACCAACAACAATAATCCAATTAATCACCTTTTTCTTATCTCATTGATATACATCATATTTCTCTCTGTTTGCCACAGCCTCAGATTTCCATTCTCATAGTAGAATGGAAATCATGTAATTTTCAACATGTGGAACACAATGAAAATTACATCGCTGAAATCGATAAATAAAAAGAAAAGAGAACTGCTGTTGAATCTGCTCAGCATCAGCCGATAACTTTGGTAAAGGTTCATGAATTCAAATCAGTAGTCTCTCTGTTCCTGCGATTGGTGTTGCTACCTATAGGAGAAGTAAAATAATACGATTCCTCTGAGAGAATTCTAGAGTATATCCCTCTATATGGAAAAAGCCACACTATGGTTTGCTGTGTAGTTCCTCAGTCCCTGCAGCGCTGGGAAGAGGTCAGTTTGTCCAAGCAGGACTCGGACAGGCACACAGCCTGACCTATTGATCCGCCCTGTGAGGAAGAGATTTATTGGGCTTGGTGTGATTGGGTTTCGGCTATTTTCACCTACTGTGCTAAAGCACTATATGCTCTTTTTTGGTGTCTTGTTTCAACTATAATTTCTTTACAGTTCCAGAGAAATTGTAGGAAATCTATGGTTTGTGTCACAGATAATCAAAGTCAGGACTGCAAACATTTGTAATTGGTGACCTTAGAGACAGAACACCCACACAATTTATTGCAGCCATATAAAGACGTTCAGTTGCACAGTCAGGAGAATCCATCATGGGTCTCATTACATGTCCAGTACAAACACACTGGGAAACCTTTCTGTCTGACAGACTGATGTACTGATATCATAAATGCTTTAGATACTGCAGTATGCGAGTGTGTACTCTACCAATACCATGTCTTCATTAGTTTCACCTGGATAAAACTGCAGTTTTCTTTTCCTGGGAATCACTTCCCCCTTCGCTGCTACAAAGCAGCAATTGGCACTGTACTACACAGGCAAGTGCTGTGAATGAAATGGAATCAGGGATTTCTGGTGTATTATTAGCCAGGGCTAGATAAAATGCCAGCAGTTTGGCAATATTTTACACCGGAAAGTCCCACAAGCAAAACGGCAACTGAAAAGACCTCAGTTTCAAGGCAATTGTGTGATGGTCACAAAACAACACAA